TAGTCTATTTATTACGTCTATAGCTATAGATCCCTATTATCTACTTCTGATCTACTACCAGCTATCAACGTCGACTCTATGCTGTTGTCATTGAACGATTACTAGCTCGCTAGTTACAAATCTCAACACATGATGGCAGTGTTAACGTTTATAATAATGTTACGCCCGTAAGAAAAATAGTGCCTGCGTATGTCATTTTAACATGATACAAATAGCCTAATATATTTGTAATTGTTACTACTGCGAGCTGTATACGTGTAACTATTACTATTCGTGTGATATCTAGACTTAATAAGGCATTTATCGTTATATTTACGCGTTTGTACTTCCCGCGGGTTTAGATGATGGCATGATGTATGCGTGTGTTATGCGGCTGCACCTGCGAAGCAGAGAGAACAAATTTTGGGTGGAATTTTCTGTGGAATACCGACAAGTGTTGGTGCTAGTAATGTGTTTTCGGTAGGTTAAATGAACCAGGAATATATTCGGCTGTGTCATATCCAGTTAAAGTTGATAACAGAACACAATGATCGCGCTAGTAAACAATAGAGCCAGGGCTTGTAGTGATTAACTGCATACCCTAAGCGGAATGATTGTCGCTGTTGTTTAAGGCGCTGCAGGTTATTACAACTCCTACTCCTAGTACTAGTACTACAAATATCAGTAACTAATATTACGCCTACTGCTAGGCTATCATACTTCATAGAAAGGTAACGCTAAGATGGTAATGTAGGTAACTCACCATGCCTTTCACTTATATGTTGCACATGATAGATCCAAGTAAAGTTAATTGCTAACAGTAACATGTAAAGTTCTCTGTTGTCTGAATTTCATCCTGCCTAGTTTGTTGTGTTGGCAACAACTTCAACTCTTCTACTTCAGTAAACGACATTGTATTTTGAAACGCTAGCAAGCAGTGGTAGCAATACTTAGTAGCAAAAAAACGATGGACCCAGGTTAGGGTGGAGTACATCATGATCATTGATTTATAACATCCACCCAGTACATTAAATTCGAGTACCAATTTTCGCTCTTACACAGAACGATCAAACTGTAAATTGGCTGTGTTTGGTGTGTTTTGGTCATTAGATCAAGGGTGAGTGGTTATAGCAAACATGAACCTAAGTATGTGACTTTGCATAAGTATGTTATTGAAATACTGTATATATGCCGAATTATGAATTATTCGATGTTATTCGGTATGAATTATTCGCGTATTGTTATTTTTGCGGTCAGGGACGCGTTTGCGAAATTTGCGAAAATTAGACCGCGAAATATACAAGCGTATACAGTAGAAATGTGCTAAATTTTCCTTTTTCTTACAATTATTTGTGAAAATACCCATAAAAATTTCTACTATATATAAGTTATATTATATAACTAAAATGTATAATTCACCTACAATATTCATTCATTTATCAGTATACACAGTGCAGGGTGCGAAATTAACCGGAGTCCGGAGTCAAATACTCCCTGATTTACTGTCGGACTCCCTGATTTGACATATGCAGGAGCCTGTGTGACTCCCTGAAAATTCTGCCATACTAACTAGCCTTGCGGAATTACGGTATTTTTTTAGCTAATGTCCAAAGAAAATTTGGCAGATGTGCAAACCACATGAATCTTAAACATAAGCATATGCGTTATTGTTCATATCTTTCATTTTGAACCCCAGACTGTGGACTCCCTCATTTTGCTGCGGATTCCTTCTTTTTGAGGGTAGAGTCCGATGGACTCCGTGTTCAAAAGTTAATTTCTACCCCTGCAGTGGGTCTTATGGTTTACACTAGCCAAAGTTGTAATTGTTATTGGCTATTGAGTAGATGTAAGGGTTGTTATTTATGCGAGTGGTGAATCTGCAAGTTAATGTACACTACAGTTAGAATTCACATGATTTTTTATTAATTGCCTTGTAGGATGTAAGAACTTGACTTTCGTATGTGATTTAATGCTCACTTTTTTGTTGTGACAGGTTCTATTTCTGTGACATGATCAGACGGAAAGAAGGTGAGTCATGAAGAGCTCCAAAGATGTGGTCGGTCGAAAAGATGACAGTCAAGATCCCGCTCGCAAGGTTTGTAGCCAAGGCAAATAACGCGAAACTGTATTTGTAGGAGGTCATAGGAAAAGGAGGGGTGCATTAAAACAGTACGCAATGACGTTTAACTTTTACCTTCTCTGTTATTAAACTGGATAAGTTGCTTTCAGCCTTGCTTTGCTTGGTTTACGCTTATATTGTAGATTGTTCCTGTACACAAGAGTATGTTACTGTTTATTGCAGTGTAATGCAGCAATTCGCAAGCCAAGTGTAAGCTTATTCCGCATTTCAGTGGCAGATGATTGGTAATCTTCTTTCCTAGCTACGTCATTATCTGCCATGTGCATGGTAATAACATGTGCATGGTAATAACATGCCTAGCCAATTTTTTACTCCAGAAAAGAGCGCATTTTTAACTTTTCCAAGGTTTCAAAATGTCAAACTTGGGAGGTAAACAACATGTTATTATTGAATTTGTAGATAAATTAGATTGTAAAGACTTGCATAGTGTGTGCAGTATTGACTCAAGCACTGTAAAACTAATATAAACACAATTATTTCTATACCTAGCCATCGTACTTGATTAAAAATTAAAGATTCATGCCAGTAGAATAGTTTAAAAGTTTAAAGTTTAAACATTGAACAGTTAGTTGCCTGTTGTAAGTACACAGCTGTTCATATATACACAAATGAAAAAAATTAACTCGCATAATAACTAATGTAAACTGATCTGTTTATATCCGTCTATGGTTTGCACCTTCCTGTGTGGAATTTTTATATTGAATACAATGTTGTGTGCTAGATACTGATGTCAACTAGCTTGCATGCTTTACTTATATCTGTGTAGGGTAGAGATTAGAGGAGTGACTATTGAAGCAATAATGTTGCTGTAGCTGAACCAACCATTGCAATACTACTGATTTGTGGTGTCCTGAGGATCGATTACAATCGAAAGTTGATCGTTTGCAGTCACTAATTATATAATCAATTATGAAAACAAATAATTGATCATTGAAGTTAGCTATTTGAAGTACGAACACTGCTGCAAACACTCATAATGGTAGCTCTACTTTACTACTTTAATAGTTATTCAAATTTAACTACAAAAATGTTAAATGTGTGATTTACCCTGAGAGTATCCTTAAAAAACATTTCATGACAGTTTCATTCAATAGGGCACAATAATAGATGTAACAATAATATAGTACATTCATAGTGCAATTGGAAATTTTTAGAAAAATATAAACATTGTAAAAACAAGCCCTGTAAACATATTATCTATCTAATTGTTCTGAAGCGTTATATAGTTTGCAGAAGTTATATTATTACACATATGAAGCAATACTATGGAATCACTGAGTTTTAGACCAGATAACATAAGGTCACTGATGATTAATCGATTATGAAACATTAGCTGATTCTCATTAGTGCTACTGATATTACTGATCACTGTCGTGATGGTAGAGGTGTTTCCTAATTATCAAACGCGGATAATAACTTCATATATATGGGGTATCTGCAAAAGTAATTAACTTACATTTAAATCGATGTAACTAATGTTGTTAATTGTATATATTTCATTTTAAGTCTGACACCATAAAATGAACTTTAATGATATAATCAGATAAGTTAACGGTTGAGCATGGAAGTGGTTTTCCCGATTCTTTACTGCAAATGAATTTCACAGATTCAGCAGCTAAATATAAACTGTTAAAACTATCAATTATTAATGGCACCATTGGTGATCGCTGTCGATATTCCGACTTTATTATCGATTTATTGGTATCATGTGTCCACTATCGTAATATACCGATGATTCTATGTATTTTTACACCCCTAGTAGCAATGTCAATCTTCTGACCATGAATTCAGATGCACCGAACAAATTACTTTATGAAAATTCTACCAAAGAGGAAGCAAAATATCATCAAAGTATTACTTTCAAAAACAGCATGGAAAAGGATTCGGAGGGAAATTAGCTCGTATCGAGGCAGACGTTTTTTTCTATAATCGGGACTAGCATCGTTGACATGCTTTGTGCACTGCAATAGGCTATCACTAATGGCAATCTGTTCAGGTTAGTGCAGTTTTAATGCCATAACTACATGTGAAGCCATTGAAAGTACCCAGATACTCTCTTATGGAAGATGCGTGCTATTAGTTTAAAGAAGCCCACAGAATGAGAACTGTACGCTGATGCATTTACAGTGTTTCTGGGACAGGTTACTAAGCACTACACTTTGATGTGCGCAACGCGTAAAGTATAACATTTTTGGATCAGTTGTTCGTACAAAATTTTTTAACCAACTCATTCACACATCATTGAAGACCCCCCACCAAGCTTATGAAACTGGTAGAAATTACTATCTGGTGTCCGATGTATCAAGTATTTTACCTTGAGAACTTGAAACCTCTAGGAAAAGTAATTTTGGCTATTAAACACTTACAAAGGAAAACTGGCAGGTTTTCTACAAATTTGACTCATTCAGATGTTCATGTGCACACAGGACTTCGGTGCAGTGTTTATTAAAACCGCTTGCCCGAGTGCCTAAGGCAAGCAAAATGCACCGCCAGGCAAGCAAGCTAAAAAAGCACTTGCCCGATCGTGCAAGTTCCCATTTTTTCGCAATTTCAATTTTCAATGCGCTTGCAGGACCGGCGATCGCCTAGAAGCTAAGCCTAAGACGAATTAATATTTCAGCAGAAAACTAAAGCTTACTAAGTTACACACTACGTACCCTTCTAGGTTTTTCCCCGTTCCTACGATAGTTACTATGGTGATACTGATAGTGAAGTGGACTCGCAGCACTCGTGTGCATATGTTTGTGTCACGATCGTAGATAAATAAATGTACGTAGCAGTGTGAGTATTAACGTAGCGATGAGTGTGAGTATGATACATTCTGTCTGATTAAATATAAGTTTAAAAAGCCATTAAGAAGACAGATGGGACATGACTCTGTCACACTATTGTGTGCTACTAAGGTGATGCATTTCTTATTACTATATTAGATAACACACAATTAAGAATAAGACTGTCCTGATAATGGACCAAGTTTGACCACATTCAATGACAGTCAGTCCTCACTTTATTGCCATTGTTACTGACATTTTACTCGCATTGCTCTCATTTTAAAAACATTCAATATAAAGCTATCTGAACAATCTGAAGGAACATAAAACATATATATATACAACTTTAAACATGTATACAACTTTAAAATAAGCACATAAATTGAGTGAACATAGATTAAAGTAATACATATCGTCATCCGGCAATTGACATTGTTGTTCGAGCAAGTGACATTTTTATTCGGGCAGGTCATATTTGTCAGCACCTGCCCGCAGGGCAAGTGGTGAAAACAATTTTTTGTAGAACCCTGCTTCGGTGCAATAAAAGTTTGCACGTTGAATTTGTTCTAAAGTTATAGCAATGCAGTCACTGTGGCTGATCACCATTAAATACAGTAATGTGCCGAGTAGTAGTCAACACTAGCTTGACGTCCCAACCAGCTGAGGGTTCACTAATTACATTTCCAGTTTTTCCAGAAAATTAGTTTTCAACCCGTCCCGTGCGCGTGTTCTCGGTACGTATTTGTCAGCGTGTCTTTGTGTGGCGGCGTGCACACGGCTGAACCTTTTTCCCTATAGACCGCCGTCAGAAACATTTTAAAGGTCTACGAGGTCCAGTCTACGAAAAAAAGTTAATGTTAAGGCTAATGTTAAGACTATTTTTTTCTGACAACGGTCTCCTTGTCCCTTGTCCATACGCAAAACATATTACGAATGAAAGAAGTCAAAGTAATCTGCTGCCGACATTTTATTTTCGTTCTCGATCTTTATTCTTTGGACACATGATTTTTAGAGGCTTGTATCTTTGGTTATGCGTGACACTCTAAACTAAAGAGGTAGAGCGATTGTGTACCGTGAAAAAACACCTAGTGGAGGAGAAGATTGGCATGATTAAGTTCACATAATCAACGTGTAATATGAATAGAAACACGCGTCTTCGTGGAGAGATGCTTTGCTGAACTTGCGTGTTCATTTTCTCGTTTAGCAGAGTCATTGTTCTGTAAAGGAACGTGACAGTGTGAGCATGATGAGTCATTGATGAGAAACACGAGTTGCATTACGTAATAGCGTGGAGCTTTTTTATATCTTTACTCCCGGGACTACATAGGTAAGACTAAATTTAAGATCACGTGGGTTTCTAGTTTCAACGTGTTTTATCAACGTGTGTGTGTGTATTTTGTTACGTAGGTATCAAAGACTGCGATGATGAAGAATGCACACAGCCACACGAGAAGTCAGCCGAGTGCGTCAGGAAGCTCTGGCGTGCTGATGGTCGGCCCAAACTTCCGCGTTGGAAAGAAGATTGGCTGTGGAAACTTCGGTGAACTACGATTAGGTATGACGATATATATCTGCTGAATTGCAGTGGCATTCCTGAGTGACCAGGGGCGTAGCCAGTATGTAGCACTGTAGGCCCGGGCCTACACTTTTTTTTGGCCAAGTTTTTTTTTTAAACACCCATAATTCAAATCCATAAGCTTGCTGGACGAGTTTAAGAGTCCAGACAGGAAAAACTATTGAAATGAACGTAGCAAGCTAGAATATGGCTAAATTAGGTGACCTATTCTTCTGTCATCTATAGGCTGTCATTTCTATCGCGTGCCGTTTCATTCAACACTCTACCCGCCGAAAAAGACTAGGATCCGATCTTGTCAGTTTTTTAACATTTTAACTCGTTCGTAACACTATTTTAACTCGTTTGTTTTTTGGGTTTAAAAGTGATATTGAATGAGGTGTCTCAAGTTAGCAAGAGGCCAGGGAACCAGAATGAACACTCGGGAAGGGCCGTTTCCAGCCATCTGGGGGGTTTGTAAAACCAAAAATTTTCTTGTGCGCTCCGCGCCAACCGATGGTGGCGCTCCGCTCAGATAGTCGTGCCTACAACTTTGAAAATCCTGGCTACGCCCCTGGTGACGCATGTTGTTCAGGAGACCAAGTGTCTCGAAGGTTGAAAGGTCACTGGTAATGTTTCTGGGTTTTTTTTAGAAGAGAGCTTTAACTCAGAGATCTGATCAGCTTCCCCAGCCAAACCATATAAGGGCACACCTCCTGTGTTTGAATAGCGTATCACAGGGATCGAATTGAAATTTTTTTAGGGCAAGGCAAAACAAAAAATTTTCTTAAGTTTTTAAGCAGATATTTTTGGTCCATCGTTGGTGTGACACAAAGCTAAACATTTCCTTTAAAAAATGATTATCAAGGCCATGTATTTTTTAACAACTTTCCACCTTCTGTTTCTTTATGTGTGGTGTTGGCAACTGTAATTACTTTTTGCGGTTGCGAGTACAAAGTCGCTGAAAAGCTGATGCTTTGAATGCTAAAAAAAATGATGTTTTTGAGTATGTTGAATTTCTGAGAACGTTTGTCAGCCACCCATGGTTTGGGTGGGTTAAAAGCATAATTTCTTCCTATTTTTACCCACGATGACCTTTACCCATCCATGTGTTTTTTACCCACGGTGCTGGACGGCCAGGCATGAGTTTATTCCATGTGTGTATTATTGTTGAGCAAAGTTATTATCAATAGCTGTGTACATGTTCCGAAACCAAATCTTCCAGTAATATATTAAGACGGGTTACTTTGCACAAAAACTAACAATATGCATAAAGGTTGAGGTTAATACATAAACATGTTCAATGTACTCTACTTAGGCAGTAGGAAAAGTTCATTGTATTAATTACATACAGTAACATGCGTTTGCATTTTTTGTTTCTTTACAGGAAAAAACTTGTACAACAACGAGCATGTTGCTATCAAGCTGGTAATTATAAAACATTACTTCATGTAGTAGCGATGTTATTTCAACAGCGACTTACCAATTCAAAATTCTTTCGATGGGGAAGTACAGGGTTCGTAGCGGGTCTTCCAAAGTCTTATAAGTACTTATTTTGCCAAAAATAAAATAAGGGCCCTTATTAGTACTTATTTTTGGTGCTATCTTAGAAAAGTACTTAACAGTCCTTATTTTTCGACTTACTGTTCTCGACTTAAGAGTAAGAATTGTTGTATATATAATACTGAATCATTAAATCTGCTGTGCAATTGTGTATATAAACATTATTAGTGTACTTTAATAGTCAGTGATCTATCAGAAATCGCGTAAAAAAGTCTTATTTTGGCCTCCAGAAAGGGTCTTATAAGTTCTTATTTCAACATGTGTCTTACTACTATGAACCCTGAAGTATATGCATCTGCACTTTTTCCATTGTCTGTATTAAGACGTAGACTCCTCACCTGACATGTAAGTAAGTGTTGTAGAGAGTTGCGGGTCCGTGTTGAGCCGAGGCGTCGGCATGTGACATGTAAGTAAGTGTTGTAGGGAGTTGTGGGTCCGTGTTGAGATGAGGCGTCGGCATGTGACATGTAAGTAAGTGTTGTAGAGAGTTGTGGGTCTGCGTTGAGCCGAGGCGTCGGCATGTGACATGTAAGTAAGTGTTGTAGAGAGTTGTGGGTCCGTGTTGAGCCGAGGCGTCGGCATGTGACATGTAAGTAAGTGTTGTAGAGAGTTGTGGATCTGTGTTGAGACGTTCTTGTGTTTGTTTGTAGGAACCGATGAAGTCTGCTTCCTGCACGCGCCAGTCCACCTGGAGCATATCGCGCTTCTATACAAGCATGCTGCGATCAGCCACGTGAGTCAAAGCTGTCGAACCCGGGTGGCGGACCCATCGCCACGCAATCCAACGAGTTACTTCATTGACATTGAGTCTAAGGATACTCTCCACCTTTGCACGCGGCTGACTTGCTCTAGCCTGAAGATGTAAACGTTTTTGGCAAATGAATCAATCAATCACTTGTTTTATTATTAGCAGCGAGATATATCTTCTATGCTCAAGCCCCAAAAAATGTCATGAAATTTCCAGCACCTAATTATGTTTACCAACACAAATTTTGAATTTTTATGTAAAAATGTGTATTTTGGATATTTCTCACACTCACCGAAAGAGTGAGGCATAAAAAATTTTGCCACAGTTAAGCCACAATATGCGACCAAAATAGTGCCCGCGTCTGCGCATTTTTTCTTTAATTTTTGTTATTTACGAGAAAACTGCCAAAAAAGCTGCTTAAAAAATCAGAGAGAAAAGAATTGAAATTTTTAGCGAATATAAGAGGCCGCATAACGTAATAAAATATCGGCACTAATTAACAATCACTGGACGCACTTCTTTACAGCAATGTGTTTAACCATTAAAACCGAGTGTGTAAAATTAAATGTAACTCGGAGCGCTGAAATCACAGAGAAATATCGCATTTTATACATCTCGGCCTACTATATCAGAAATCGAGACGGAGAATCATCGTTTTTCTATTTTTTCACAATGAGTGACCGCCTGTGCTGAAAAATAGTGAACGTATATCGTGAAATTATTCTACTGTTTCAGTACATACTGCGACATATCCATGACTATCTGACACGCACTTAAATTGCCTCCTGTAAAATGTTCATGGCACCTTGAGGAAACTTATGAGGTTACCATCGTGACGTCACAAAGTAATATAGTCAACAAACGCCAGCCTTGTAACCACTAAGTAAAGGTGTGTGCGCACAGGTGGCTTAGAACGTATTCTTGGGGTGTGGGATATGTGTTGCCGATCACTAGCCGGATGTACATGAATACATGTAATGACACGCTTGTAGCCGAGGGTTGATGCGGCTGACGATGGATACTGCGTATAGTTAGTATCGGGCATGGTTGCTAGTCATGTCTGGTGCTGACATGGTACGGCAGGCAATCAAATGTCGCGCCGTCTGACAGCTTCACATGCTACCCTTATGATGAAGAAATGAGCCAGCTACGAGGTTGGCCACATCAGTGGATTAGCCCATCAGATAAATTGGCAAATGAAAAATCGCCGCGGTAAATTTTGCCTAAAACCTGAGGAGCTATCCGGTTAACGTTGATCATTTTTCAATTGTGTTAGAGCACACCGTCTCTATACACTGCAATGCTGAAGGAACACCGCCGTAACCTTGTATGATGGCTTTCTGTCAAGGCGTCTTCGCGCCGGAGAAAAAGTTAGATTTGATTCAAGACTAATTCTTAAGGATTAATGATAAGACTAATGTAATAATAGGCGTCTGAATCTTGCAAAGGATTACGATGCGATATAAGCTTCGTGAATTCTGATAAGCATTAATGATAAGTAAGAGTCTGAACTCCTGAAGAAAAAGTCTATTCTTGTTCTCTGCGCAAACAGGGCGGAGAAGGGATATATAATGGGGATTCGGCGGGGCGTTTGGGTGCCCGGTTAGCCACTGTTGTTGGTAGGGCCGAGTAGTCTGAGGGAAGACAAATATCCATGTGGTGCGTCACTTCTATTGTCAGGCCATACAGTCGTAAGGAAGGCCCTTTAAGGCTTACAGTAGCAAATATTCAGGTTAGTAAACATTACTGTAGAGATGATTCGCTAAATGGCACAATAATGACTTTATTTCAGAGGCGCTGTACGCCAACGGTTTTACTTTGGCGCCGTCGGGGCCGAATACAATGCCAACTGGTCATGGAGCTGCTAGCGATCAAGCCCTTTGCGGAAGATTATGTTTGAATGATGTGACGAGGAAGTTTACTCTGAGACAGTCTGATTTCCTGCCTATCCAGTTGGGCTAAGTTGACTATATGCTAAAACATCTTTCCCTTTTTATTGCTGGCAAGGCCAGAAGAGCTTAGTTATTTTTGCCTCTTCTTCAGTGCCTGATTTTTTGTCGAGTTATAAGAATTTTAAGTAGAGTATCTGCTTGAAGAATATCCAGCTCTACATAACTGCCCATTATTTTAATTGTTAAGCCTTTAGTCTCTGGAAGAACAGTTATCGCAATAAAATTTACTGACTAAGGATTTAAAAACCTACGCTTGCCTGCGTACAAGCCGGCCTTCGCCCCTAGAAACTGCTGCCTTGCTGATCTGTGGTGTGTGATTTGGCGAAGATTGCATTTTCTAGTGGACACATGAAGCCAAGTCATAGCCTACAGCCAAGTATAATCGTAATCTCGTAATGCAATTTCAAATGCAGATGGGATTCAAATAGTGAGGTGGAAAACAAACCTTCACATTCTGGTATGTTGTTCGTGTTTCCCTATTGGGGCCTACTCGACCACCTCGAGCTGCTAATGCTGGGCAAAAAAAAAAAAATAAAATTTTGCCTCGTCCTGCCGGCCCGCAGGGAGCCGACGATGACCAGTCCGCCTGGAGCCGCAACCGAAGATGGTGTATCCTATACAGGCATTCTTCCTGCATGAGTTTCCTCCGACTCTCTTTCTAAAAATGCGAAGAGTCGTCTGAATCGCCCTGCCTCAGCTGACCTAAGCTTGACTGATTCACAGCACAGAAACGTTCTCGCATGCAGCCCTGCTTTGTTTTTGTTTATCTTTGCCTGTCGCCATACTTAAGGTTCCGGCTGTTCTGTTGGGCGTGAGCATGCACTTGCGTTGGTTGCTGCGTTTAGATCACGCCGGATCGAGTACGTGCATTTCCAACACTTATATTATCGCAGAGTGAAGCCGAGAAAACTTCCTCATCGCGTCGTCACTCAAACGCAAGAAGGAGAAGCTGCCTGTCACATTATAGACTTTTTTGACGAGAACACAGGCGGTGCACGGAGAACGAGGACGCATCCGACCAGTGAATTCATGACGGAAAGAATCTCGACCCGGAGACACACAAGCCCACATACCGTACCGGGAAACACAAGCAGCACTTTACGGAACTGCCAGCAATAATGAGTATCAACACACATCTAGCGCAAGGTAAGGGCGCGACAGATTACCTCTTTCTGATGCCCCAGAAATGTTTTCTGTCGTTTGGTGCAACGTATTTGAGACAGCTCAGCCCGCACTACTGTAACACTGATGCGTCATGCTACTATACATTTTCCATAAGCGCATTTATTTTGCCCGCTTTATTAATAATAAAAAATAGAAATCGCATTGAATATGAAAAAATCTTTCATCATGCAATAATATGAATGAAAGTACATTGAATGATGCGCGGTTAGTTTAAATACTAATAATTTAGGCATTTAATACAGGGGGGGACCCCCTACTTAAAACTCGGTGTTAGTGTCATTGTCTTGATTTGCAAAACGCACATGTGCCTGGAATGTCAGAACACAGTCGCGAAATTGGCAGGAAATGAGAGCCTGCAGCCTGCATTGCTGGCCCCTCGCTTGGCTATGTGCTTTGGACTTATCCCTCCTGGTGATGCGTGTTTACAGATGCCAAAGTAGAAGCAGACGACTAGCAGGCGACTAGACGACACATGCATTCATGCTACTATTCTGCCGACGGCAAGCTTTACGCCTGGCAGCGGCCCTATAAGCCGCTGAAGACACTCAAAGCAGCGCCTACACAGAAAATAAGCGGCGCACACCAAGCGAGCGACGTACTGTTGAAGTACGTTCTGCCAGCAGAACTCACTCCCAGGTACCGGTGCGTGACTCCTGCTATGTGAATGGCAAGCCGTGGCGCTAGATTGGATTAGCTAAAGCTTGCCATCTGAGGCCTTCTACACCCAAGCTTAGAATTATTCTACCTTGAGTATAATGAGTTGTGAATCATTTGCGAAACAACATACTGTTTTCGGAGGAAATGACTTTTATGCTTTCATCGCTGTTTATAAGATGCTTACTCGTTGGCATAGACCGTTGGGTGCGAGCCCTAAATTTTACAGTGGCTTTAGCTGCTTTGAGTGTGTCCAGCCCAATAATTTTAGAAACAGTCATCACTGCTATCAGTGCGCTGAAAATCGTTATCCTGCAAAACCAGATGTACCTAAGTGACAAGTCTAAATAATGTTTGCAATCTGCAATTAAAAATGACACAATTGTATTAAGTCCATTACTATTATTGCTAGCCTTAAAAAGTTGTAGACTGCTAGCTTGTGTTACATTATTGTGCGTGGTTGTGATCCTGCTAGCCCACTTACGACAAAATTCTTCTGCCTTATTTCCAACACAAACTCTATAACCCATACTTGCTAATTGCCTTTGCATTCATAGCTAGCCTTATTGCTTTGATTCAGAGTTTGCCCGACATATCTGCTGTTATGCTGAGAAAGGCTGGATTTCTTCGAGTGCCAGATTACGACTATCTGAGGAAGTTGTTCCTGGACTTGCCTCGAGCCGTAATGGATGCGAGAATGATGGCGACTTTGACTGCCGGGTAGGGGCCGTATGAATGTACGCTGCTAACATGTTATCTGCATGTCGTGCTGCAGAGATGCTGTTGTCTTCTTAGATTTCTACCATTTATTACATTTATATTAGGTCATTTCACATAACGTCATTACTATCTAATATGCCCAATATGACATGTAACAAATCTATCACAAAGGCGTTAAGTTTGATAGAAGCAATGTACTTATTATCTGCTCAAAAGTAGTGTAACCTGCTAGGTACAAGCTTTAACTGTCCATTTGATTGATATGCTAACGTCACATGCCATCTCGACTGACTGTTATTGTAGTGACCTCTGATATTTTACTGGTGTGTCAACCATGTTTGTTAAGGTACATGGCTTGATTGAAACAGCGGTACAATATGGCTCTGTGCGCGTAATTCTTCAGACGAATACGCCCTGCTGCGACTCCAGCGTCTCAGCTAACAGATGTGAAGACCCCCCCAAACAAGGAGAAGGAGAGAGAATCCCAGTTCAACCAGGCAATAAGAAAAAAAACCGTATAAGAACTACTGTCATTGTACTTGCTAAAACTACACAGTCTTCTTAAGGCCCAAAGAAAAAAAAAAAAAAAAAAAAAAAAAAAAAAAAAAAAAAAAAAAAAAAAAAAAAAAAAAAAAAAAAAAAAAAAAAAAAAAAAAAAAAAAAAAAAAAAAAAAAAAAAAAAAAAAAACAAAAAAAAAACTACCGATATATACTCGCGTAATAACCGCAAATTTGCGCCACTCAGATTTCAACCCTGTAATTGCCCCCTCCCCCCCTTATGCCCCGGTATTATAAGTCGCGCCCAATACTGTAGAGCGGGCAAATATACTAGGCACAATCTTGGTTACCCGATTCAAAATCCAGGTGCGGCTTATAGCGCCGCGCGCGGTTTATTACGCGATCATTATACGGTAGGCTTCACAGACATCATGTTTGTTTATTCGCTGCCACAGCCCCCCACCGGGTACAATCCCCAGCCTTACTCCGTCGCAATCCCACTCTACCCTACATCTCCTCTCCCCCTACATTTCCTTTTTCCTCGGGCTCCTCTCACGGCCCTCCCCCTTATATCTCTTTTCTACTTCTTCCTTTCTCTCTCTTCTATATGTCCCGGCGTAGTCGAGTGTCATGTGGTGGTCCACAACATGATCGTGACGTAACGTGCCAACATTGATCAGCTGACGTAACTGCGCCAACACTTGATCGGTGTTTTTGTTTTTTTTTTTTTTTTTTTTTTTTTTTTTTTTTTTTTTTTTCACGTAACTCTGCCCAACATTGATCGCCGTGGACGTTAAACTGCAACATTTGATCGGTGACGTAACGCCCTGCAACATTGACATCAGTGACGTAACCTGCCCAACATTGATCGGCCTGAGTAACTGCAAACATTGATCGCGCTGACGTAACCCTGCCAAACATTTGATCGCCGTGACGTAACGTGCAACATTGTATCAGCTGACGTAACCTGCAACATGATCAAGCGCTGACAACCTGCAACATTGATCGGCCTGACGTAACTGCCCCCCAAACATTGATCGCGTGACGTAACGTTGAACATTGATCCGCGCGCTGACGCTAACCTGCAACATTGCTCGGTGAGTACCTGCCCCCAACATTGATCCGGTGACGTAACCTGCCAACATTGATCGGTGACGTAACGCTGCAACATTGATCGCGTGACGTAACCTGCCAACATTGAATCGCCCCCGCTGACGCTAACCTGTTGCCAACATTTTGATCGGTGACGTTAAACCTGCAACAGTTGATCCGGCCTGACGTAACCTGCAACATTGTATCTGTCGGTTGACGCTTAACCTGCAAACATTTGATCGGTGACGTAACTTTCAACCATCCTTGCGATTTTCGCTTGTCTATGGCCGGACTGGCTATTCTCCCGGCGTTGCCCATCATCGATGCCCCATGCGATTATACTATGATGCCCCCCCCCCCCCCTTAGCGAGCGGTCGGCACGCGCCGCAACTCTACCGGCTATGTCCAATAACTATAATGACTCAAAACTAATGACTAATGATCTGCACGGCTACGACTCCAGGGCCATTTCTGACCTACCATTTGTACAAGCTGCACCTTTCCCTCGAAGAGTTTATGATCCAAGCGTCCGCAAATTTAACTTTCACTTCGCCCATGATTTCTCCATCACATACACTACTACATTTGAATTTAAAATTAGTTTTATTTATTTATTATATATTATATATATGCCAAAGAATTGTGTGAAGCTGATACCGGTTTAGGAATGCTTTATATGCCTACTCGATTTTCGCGGACGCATAACTTTGCTGACAATTTTTGCTACACTTGTTAATCAGCTGAATCCTGAAGCAGGTGTACAAATTCACAATTAGTGCTTTCTATATTCAGGCATTTGACTGATGTTACTTTTGATGCCTATTGGGGCAATTATATCACACGAGATGCCCTATTTGATACGATTTCTGATAAGGTTCATGCCAATATTATTGTTTGTATAATCAGCTAGTGACAGAGATTTGTGATATTTCAACACTTATCATTAGAACAATACATTTCTCACTAACACCAACGGCATCGCATACACGTCTTTCAACATGTAGTTTCTAGAATGTTTAATGGTTGAAATCGATAATCGTAAGCTCTCGTTTGTTTTCGCATCTTCTCGGTGTCCATTTACACAGTAATTTGATTTATTCATGGTCAGCGTACAATTATGATTCCAAAGCCCGTTAATATAAGCCACATTGCGATCCTCACAGCTTGGATAGGAATCGCCAATGATCTGCTTCTGGGCCCGTCCGTTCGTCCGGGCCTTCGTGCGTGCTGTGCGTCAACAGCTTGGGCACAAATCGGTAACTGCCCCGACGTACCGAGTCAGCGAATAGTCGGGACGGGGGTGGGGGAGGTGGGGAGGGGGGGAGAGAATCGTTGACAAAGGGACTCGGCGCATGAGCAAATTTGGGGGTCAAGTCAAGACTGTTGTAAAACGGAGGGGGAATCATTTTCCCTTAACTTAAGCGTATAGGAGGCAAATACGGATTGCGGCCCACACAATCTTAACGGCCAACCTATGCCCTCTTAATATTCGGTGCTATAGTTTGTGATGGGCCCCAGAAACCATCACCGAGTTGTCGAAATTGATGTAGCCTCCTGAGGCCTCAAAGGCCCAGTGGTGGGAAATGTCAGATATCTAGAACATTTTTCTGAGGACAGGTCCCTCATAATGGACAGAGTTGAAAAATTCTTTTTGTTTCAGCGCTGACCCCTACGATTTTTATTCACTTTATTGAAAGGGACCGATGAATGTGCTTTCACTGACGTGACGAAGAGTAGCTTCTGATTAACCCTTTTGACCCTCAGAGGAGGGTTTTTAAACATGGATTTCCTGAACTGCCCTCTAATGAATGTCAGCTGTTCTCAATATTCATGGCCCACAACCATAATCCAAAAAGCCAATAAGCGCTGGATTAGTAACGAACGGGCATACAGCACAGGGCGTCACGGCTCAAAGCGTCGTTGCGATCGCAATCCGCATCTGATTTTTTATTATTTACCTGTTTTCTGTATTTTTCTATCTTTATCCATTTAACTATTTTTTTCCAATTAATGCAAATATTTACACGATTTATTTACAACAATTTAATAACTGCAAATAATTTTTACAACAATTAATTATTTAAAAAAAATAGGGTTAGGGTTAGGGTTAGGGTCACAATGCACCATAAAACAGGAGTTTCAGGCACGTGATTTCTATCAACCAATGGGATTTGGGAGGTATGCAGAATGCAGAAGGTTGCTGAAATAATGTGTAGGCAACTGCGTATCTGCATATCTGCGCCTAACAAAGGTGTCACTACGCACGACTTAAATGTTACGTTTATAACCGTAGCAACAGACCTCAGATGAGCCCAGACGCTCTGCGGCTCTTGTTTGACGTGTTGTCTGACAATATTTCACTTCTTGTATGTGTTATGTTCTAAGCAGGATTATTGTTAGCTTTCGAAGTTTGCCGGGATGTGACGACCTTACGATGTCTTAAATCAGCTCACGATAATGATATCCTGTTTGGAACACGATTCGACTATTACCGGTGCTCAGTAGTGTAATGTGTTTATTAATGAAGGTAGATTGAGTATATGTGTGGTTGGTTTCTCCCAGAATCAGAGGTTGTCCACATGGCAAGAGAGAGATGCAGAACGACTTAATCCGTTGGCTGGGAATCTGGCCCTGGCTTCAACTGACCGCCTTGGTGGCAGTGTACAGGTACGTGCTGCTATTACTAAACCATGCTGTTTTTCCTACTACATCGTTATGCTTATAGTGTACGTAGTTACTTCTGCCAAACATGTTAAGTCCTAGGGGTACAGGTAAACGGTTACTGTTAGTCACTACCAGGTGTTTGAAGTCCCAGGCTCAGAGTGAGACCAGCTTAACGTGCATGTTGGAATATATAAGATTTTCGCATATCTTGGACATGTTGGAGAGATGCAGAGTAGGCTGAGAGATAATGTAACGTGGGTAGATGCCACGAGGTGTTACGCGTAACGTGTAACAACTTCACTTCCTTGCAAGAAGTGGCTGAGAAAGCGAGGCAAGAGACACAGAGAGCGAGAGCGTGCGTGTGTGAGAGGCGAGAGCGAGAAAGAGAGAGAGAGAGAGAGAGAGAGAGAGAGAATGGGGGACATAGGTCGAGGGTATGAATTGTGTGGCACGCTCGTGTCGCGATAACCTTGCCTTCTCATCGCTGCTACAGGTGATGACCTCAACGAACGGAGAACTGAATGTGGACGACCCGACAGCCGGTCACTCCCACACGCCGATCGCTGCCCAGCCGGACGTCGAGCTCCTAGATGAGACCAAGTGCTGCTGCTTCAAGCGCAGGAAGAGGAAGAAGAAAACCACGCGACAGAAATGATATAAGGACGTCTCCCCGAGCCAAGATTTGGACACGATGTTGCTACAGTCACAGTCGTGAGAACGCGTGCGCGCCGTCGCCGCGGCAACGAAACTGTAGCTATGTACATATACGGCATGCGTTCTTGCAACGAGAGCGAAAGCGTTTGTTTTGAAATAGTACGTATGAGGTCATCTCTTTGGAAAGAAATCATGTGAACGTAACTGTGCTGCTTCTTGAAGGATATATGTATGTGTGTATGTATGTATATATATATATATATAAATATACATATATTCACCTGTGTCTATGTGTATATATATATATATATGTGCGTGTGTATGCATAAATATTTTGAAGTAGGTTATTATAATGATTATGTAAATAGTCTGTTACTGTGCAGATTTTTTGCATGTATTCAAGGTGAAACCTATTAAAACAATGTGTGGACGCAAGGGTGATCATGCAGCACGACACAGGGATTCACACAGCATCCTGTCGCTGTTCATGGCTTCAATAGAATTTTATAGCTTTCATACGAAACTAAACGTTTTTTCTGCACACTTTGGAATGACACGTGCACTTGTTTGCTATTGGTTGAGCTGCACACGTGACCACTGTACAGGTGACCCACGCTACACTCGTGTTGGCGGTAAGCATCTGTTTTTGTAGTTAGCATATATATGCACTTGCACTGTACTTAGTGGCCTAGTAACTGTTCACTATTACAGAGTGGGTGTGAGAGCTGAGAGCAGTGTTCACATTGAGCTGCTGTGCTGGACACAGTCAGCCCGTGTACGCATAGCCTTGTTGCTTTATAGCTGCGAAACTTCCCCCATCTGACATGTCGCAGATTCCTTTCTACGCAATTTGGGCTTCGGCACGTTCGTGGCAGGAGTGCGTGCGCATCCGCATGATGATTCCACGCAGCCTAGCACGTTAACGCTCGAAATCCAGAGAACATGTCTTTGTTCACGAAGTGTGCTGGAGAGAGCGATTGGCACCTAATCAAGATCCCTCACAAACACCTTCAAGTCAGGCCCTTATTTGCAGCTCACACTACCTATTTATGTAGATGCAGACTTGCAAATCTAAACTAACGAGGACATTTAGAGAAGAGTAGATATGATTTAGTGCAAATTGTGTGAAAAGGCACCTTCAAGCTAGCTAGGTAGGGGTTGATTCAATTTTTTCTGTCTACTGCAGTTTCTTCTTGATGACTCGTCAGTTTTGTATACTTTCTACGGTTCTTCTCTCTTTTAACGCTGGTTTTGTATACTTTCTACGGTTCTTCTCATCTGTGTTGAGACGTTCTTGTGTTTGTTGTAGGAACCGATGAAGTCTCGTGCACCGCAGCTCCACCTGGAGTATCGGTTCTACAAGATGCTGGGACAGCACGGTGAGTCAAGCTGTCGAATCCGGGGGGACCCATCGCCAGCAACAACATTACTCATTACATTAGTCTTAAGGATACTCTCCACCTTTTGCACGGGTATTGCTCTAGTGAAGATTAAACGTTTATTGGCAAATGAATCAAATCAATCACTTGTTTTATTTATAGAGGAGATATATCTCTATGCTCAAGCCAAAAAATGTCATGAAATTTCCAGCACCTAATTATGTTACCACACAAATTTTGAATTTTTATGTAAAAATGGTATTTTGGATATTTCTCAACTACCAGAAAGAGTGAGGATAAAAAAATTTTGCCACATGTTAAGCACAATATGGACCAAAATAGTGCGTCTGGATTTTTCTTTAATTTTTGTATTTACCGAGAAAACTGGAAAAAAGTGCTTAAAAATCAAGAAGAAAAGAATTGAAAATTTTAGCGAATAAAGAGGCATAACTAATAAAATACGGCACTTAATAACAATCACTGACGCACTTCTTTACAGCAATGTGTTACCATTAAAACGAGTGTAAAATTAAATTAATCGGAGGTGAAATCACAGAGAAATATCCATTTATACATCGGCTACTATGTCAGAAATCGAGACGGAGAAATCATCGTTTTTCTATTTTTCACAATGAGTGACCGCCTGTGTGAAAAATAGGTGAACGTATGTGAAATATCTACTGTTAGTACATACTGCGACATATCCATGACTAACTGACACCACTAAATTGGTAAAATGTTCCATGCACCTTGAGAAATTATGAGGTTACCATCGTGACGTCACAAAGCTAATATGTCAACAAACGCCAGCCTTGTACACACTACAGTAAGGTGTGTTGCAAGGTGTTAGAACTATTTTGGGTGTGGGATACTTGTTGGATCACTAGCAGATGTACATGAATACATGTAATGACAGCTGTAGCAGGGTTGATGCTGAATGATACTGGCTATAGTTAATATCCTGGTTGTATCATGTCTCTGACATGTACGCAGGCAATCAAATCGCTCTGACAGTTCACATGTACCGTTATATGAAGAAATGAGCATGTACGAAGGTGGCACATAGTGTTAGCCATCGAATAAAATTGAAAATGAAAAATCGGTAAAATTTTGCCTAAAACCTTGAGAGTATCCTTAACGTGGACATTTTATTGTAGAGCACACCTCTCTATACACTGCATGTGAGAAACGCGTAACTTTATGATGTTTCTGTCAAGGGTCTTCGAGAAAAAGTTAATGATAAGACTAATCTTAAGATTAATGATAAGACTAATGATAATAAGTCTAATCTTAAGATTAATGATAATAAGTCTAATCTTAAGATTAATGATAATAAGTCTAATCTTAAGATTAATGATAATAAGTCTAATCTAAGAAAAAGATTAATCTTGTTTCTGGCAACAGGCCAAGACTATATAATGGGATTGGGGGTTGGTGGTTAGCACTGTTGTTTAGGATATCTGAGGAAGACAAATACCATTGTGGTCATTATTTCAGCCATACAGTCTAAGGAAGGCTTAAGGGCTTAAGTAGCAAATATTCAGAGTTAGTAAAACATTAACTGATAGAGCATGATTGCTAAAATGGCAAATAATGACTTTATTTCAGAGGGTGTACCCAACGTGTTTTACTTTGGCCCGTGTGGCAAGTACAATGCACTGGTCATGGAGCTGCTAGGAGCAAGCTTGGAAGATTTATTTGACATGTGTGACAGGAAGTTTACTCTGAAGACAGTCTTGATGCTTGCTATCCAGTTGGTAAGTTGACTATATGCTTAAAACATCTTTCTTTTATTGCTGGCAAGGCAATGAAGAGCTAGTATTTTTGCTTCTTCTTCAGGTATTTTTGTCGAATTATAAGAAGTTTAATAGTCTGTTAAGAATAGTCACTCTACATAACTGCATTATTTTAATTTAAGCCTTTAGTCTCTGAAGACAGTTACGCAATAAAATTACTGAAAGGATTTAAAACCTACGCTTGCTGTACAAGTGCTAAAAACTGCTGCTTGTGATCTGTGTCGTGTGTTGGGAAGATTGCATTCTGTGGACACAGAAGCAAGTCATAGCTCAGCCAACGTATAATGTAATTCGTAATGCAACTTCAATGCAGTGGGATTAAATGTGAGGTGGAAACATAAACGCTAACATTCTGTCATGTGTCCGTGTTTCCTATTGGCCTACTCGACCACCTGACTGTAAGTGTGCACTTGCTGGAAGATGGTTATCCTAACAGCCATTCTCCTGCATGAGTTTCCTGGCTCTCTTTCTAAAAAATGCAAGCAGTCGTTGAATCGCTGCTAGTGACCTAGTGACTGATTCCACACAGAAACGTTCTCGTGCAGCTGTTGTTTGTTTATCTTTGCTGTGCTACTTAAGGTTCGGTGTTCGTGCGCGTGAGCATGCACTTGTGTTTCTGCGTAGATCACGCGGATCGAGTACGTGCATTCCAAACACTTGATATATCGAGACGTGAAGCCGGAAAACTTCCTCATCGGTCGGCACTCGACAAAGAAGGAGAAGCTGCTTCACATTATAGACTTTGGTTTAGCGAAAGAATACATCGACCCGGAGACACACAAGCACATACCGTACCGGGAACACAAGAGCCTTACGGGAACTGCCAGATACATGAGTATCAACACACATCTAGGCAAAGGTAAGGGGCGACAATTACCTCTTTCTGATGGCAGAAATGTTTTCGTCGTTGCGTGAACGTATTTGAGACAGCTCAGCGATCTACTGTAACACTGATGCGTCATGTTATCATTTTCCATAAGGCTTTATTTTGCGTTTATTAAAATAAAAATAGAAATCGCATTGAATTAAAAAATCTTCATCATGCAATAATATGAATGGAAGTGAATGATGGGGTTAGTTTAATATAATAATTTAGGCATTTAATACACGGGTACTTAAAACTCGGTGTTTAGTGATCTATTGTCTGATTTGCAAAACGCACATGTGCTGTGAATGTCAGACACAGTCGAAATTGGAGGAAAATGAGAGCCTGAGCCTGCATTGTGCTCGCTTGGCTTGTGTTTGGCTTATCCCTCCTGGTGATGCGTGTTTACAGAGCAAAGTAGAAGAGACGACCTAGAGGCACTAGGACACATGTTCATGTACTTTCTGCGAGGAAGCTTACCCTGGCAGGGCCTAAAGGCTGAAACACTCAAAGAGCGCTACCAGAAAATAGGGGACACCAAGCGAGCGACGTCTGTTGAAGTACTCTGCGAGAACTACCCAGGTACCGGTCCTGACTCCTGTATGAATGGAAGCATGGGTAGATGATCGTAAAGTTGCATCTTAGGTTCTACACCCAAGTTAGAATTATTCTAGCTGATATATGATTGTGAAATCATTGCGACACAACTACTTTTTCTGAGGAAATGCTTTTATGTTTATCGTTTTAATATAAGATGTTATCGTTGGCATAGGTTGGGTGGAAGCTAAATTTTACAGTGGTAGTGTTTGAGTGTGTCAGCAATTTTAGAAACAGTCATCACTGTACTCATGGTGAAAATCGTATCCTGCAAAACCAAGATGTACCTAAGTGACAATCTAAATATGCTTTGTAATTCTGAATTAAAAATGACACAGTTGGTATTAAGTCCATTCTATATTGTAGTTAAAAAGCTGTAGACTGTAGTTGTGTTACATTATTTGTGCGTGGTTGTGATCCTGCTAGGCACTTACACAAATGTCTCTTGTTATTTCCAACACAACTCTTAACCCATACTTGTAATTGTTGCATTCATAGCTGCTTATTGCTTGATTCAGAGTTTGCGACATATCTGCGTTATGTGAGAAGGCTGGATTTCTTCGAGATGCCAGATTACGACTATCTGAGGAAGTTGTTCCTGGACTTGCTCGAGCGTAATGGATGGGAGAATGATGGCGACTTTGACTGGATAGGGCGTATGAATGTACGTGTAACCTGTTATCTGATGTCGTGTGCAGAGATGCTGTATGTTTTCTTAGATTTACTACCATTTATTACATTTATATTAGGTCTTTCACATAACGTATTACTATCTATTGCAATATGACATGTAACAAATCTATCACAAAGGGTTAAGTGATAGAAGCAATGTATTATATCTGTCAAAAGTAGTGTAACCTGTAAGGTAACAGGTTTAACTGTCCATGATTGATATGTAACGATCACATGCCATCTCGACTTGACTGTTTTGAGTGACTCTGATATTTTACTGGTGGGACAACATGTTTGTTAAGTACATGGTTGATTGAAACACGGTATAATATGGTCGTGTGGGTAATTCTTCAGACGAATACGCCTGCTGGATCCAGCCTCTCAGTAACAGATGTGAAGACCCCGAACAAGGAGAGAGAGAGACATCCCAGTCAACCAGGAAATAAGGTATAAACTACTGTCATGTTGTAAAACTACACAGTCTTCTATAAGGCAAAGAAGTACCGTATATACTCGCGTAATAACCGCAAATTTGGCGTCAGATTTCAACCCTGTAATTGCTCTGCGGTTTATAAGTGCGCCATACCGTGAGGGGAAATATACTAGGCGCAATACTTGGTTACCCGATTCAAATCGAGGTGCGGCTTATAGGCGACCGCGGTTATTACGCGATCATATACGGTAGGCTTTACAGCATCATGTTGTTTATTCGTGCACAGCACCGGTACAATCCCCAGCCTTACTCTCGAGCCACTCTACCCCTACATCTCCCCCCTACATCTCCTTTCTCCTCGGCCTCTCACGGCCTCCCCCTTATATCTCTTTTCTACTTCTTCCTTTCTCTCTCTTCTATATGTCCCGGCGTAGTCACACAGCTCGGTTACGAACACAGACAGCAAACTCCACGACATATGGCGCTCTTGCTCATGGGCTCAATCTACCACTGCCACAAGTAGATTTCGGTTACAATTTGTAATGCTTTTTTACTACAAGTTTTGCAGCAGGCACGTTACTCATATCCTATGTAATAAGATTTGGACTAATAAAAGTTGCAAAGATATTAAAAATCCGACCGTTATTTCATGGCAAAATTTGATAAAATAGTGATACGAAATAGTACGCCATTGTGCGCCCATTTACCTCGTTCAAATCATACGCTGTTTACGAATCTGCATTCGCTGGATTTCCCCCGAGCTCCGCCCACTTTAAAAAAAGTGCTAGCATTGTGGCAGTGGTATCCTGAGTGTGCGAAGGGGCACTGCATGCAGTTTGCACAGACAGTATGCTTTTATAGCAAGTGAACACTGTTCTTGAAATAGAAACAAAGATGGAGTAGAAGGGTTGAATATTTGTGTTGTATTCGTGTGAAATCAAGCGAGCGTCAAGCGAATTTTGGCAGCACGCTTTCTTACCTGCTATATATTTATGTGTCAGTGTGCAGCGGCAGCAATGGCAGCAGCCAGTGTTTGTTGTAGATGAGCATTTGGACGGCATTTACAGGAAATTGTCGGCAATAATAGGTGAAAGAGAGTATAGAAACATTAAGACTTTGGTAGTAAATAGATTTCGTATTTATTTAGCATTATATTTTATTAAAACGCTGCAAGTGCCTGTGACTGACACTGTCATATCGTCGACTCGTATCTAGCGCTAGTAGTACTATAGCCCGCGTACAGGTGCCGCAGGGCTATAGAGCATTCTACTACGAATGCTAGGGACCAACTTATTCACGGTTACTCGCGGCTATAAAACGTCTGTGGTAGACAATTAATGCCTCTTATCCGAAGTGAATATGTCTCAAGTTATATCTGCTACTAAAATTTAACCTCTAACTATCGTTGAAATGGTCTGCTTGCTGCTTGCGGTATTTCTTGTGAACGAACATTCGATTTACGAACTTCAAACGGCCATTTTTGGTGGCGCTGCAGCAGCGCCAGTCAGCGGGTTGGTCCCTAGCTTTTGGAATAGAATGTTCTATAGCCCTGCGGGAACTGTAAGCGGGCTATAGTACTAGAGCTAGGACTCGTATAACTTGAGACATATTAACATCGGATAAGAGGCATTAATTGCCTACCACAGACGTTTTATAGCTGCGAGTAACCGTGAATAAGTTGGTCCCTAGCATTTGTAATAGAATGTTATATAGCCTTGTAGAGCGTAGTTTGTATGTTACAGTTTAAAGTATAATAATCAGGAAGACGTATAGCATTTGTGTTCACTAAAAGAATATA